AATTTAGATCATTCACTACTAAAAAATATATTGAAATTCGTGATGGATGTTAAAAAATTTATTAACAAAGTGTCAAACTTAATGTTAATATTTGGACGAAATAGGTGTACATTCACTTATAATTTATCGTTAGCATTCAAATGAGAGCATTTCAAGACAAAGTTATTTTTTTTATTTTTTTTTAAAATATTTATTTATTTATTTAGCAGGGTGAGAACCTTCAGGAATTTGAATTTGCATTTTATTTTAGAAAATATGCATACAGACCACACAATTCTAATTTATTCACACATCTAACACCACAATGTTCGTAGTTATATTCATAATATCGTGGTGCCATAAATCTATGCACATAAACATCCATTTCACTGTTTAAAACGTAAGTTATGTTGATATGATATAAAAATTTTGAATGGTATAAATATAAATATGAAAGTTTGAAGGTTTGTGATGACCATAAATTAATTGATTCATTCAAATTTCAAGCTCTTAAAAAACGCTCAAATTTTCTTAATTACTAATCCGAATTAGTGTAGACGGATCAGAGTTAGAGTCATTGAGCGGGAGCGGGTTTATTTGTTTACTTGTTGCCGCAATTGTTTACTAATCTGAAGGAGAGGTAAGGCTGCACTGCAACCAAGGAAAACTCGGATGGACTTCGAATAGTAAAATAAAACCTTCAGTGGAGCAGTTACTGAAAGCTCTGTTTCATGTCAACCAAAGTCTCTCGTAAGACCTCAAAAAAAACATAAATTAAATATTTAAAATGTTTTTTTTTGAAGATTAATCATGGTAAGAGCTTGGGTGTAGCATCATTCCATCTCATAGATATTTTTGTAATAATATTTACAAGAAAGTAAAATCCAAAGTAGTCCTTGTAATTATATTAACTTAAAGTCGGTCAGCATTGTTCTGTAGCGAAGTAAATTTGAATCCTTCTTAATGGAGTCAACTTTAAGAAAAAAATTAAATGCAATAATTTCGAAGTACTTGCTTGCCTCACAATAAAGTAGTCCTAACGATGGTACGGTGCGCTTAATATGATGATAAATAAAGACCAAATTGGTGACAATTCGGCCAAATAATTTATGAATAAAAAGAGGGCGGGTTCTCCCTTCTAATCATAGATTGGTTAATTACAATTTAATCGATTTGTTTATATTTATGCTTGACTCTTGATCATGTGCGCTCAGACTAACTGTGCGAAGGTGAACGGAATGATAGGATGAATTTTCCATACTAAAGTTTAACTTTGAAGACTAATTAGTTTGGTCTCAAATTTTATTTATTGCTAAATGCATTTAATAATAATGAAAATCTGGCATGATCTGACATGTAGAACCTCCTTTAAATATTTATTCATCATATCCATTTCAGGGAGATCCACGAGCTAGAAGGGGCTTATTCATGCACGATGACCAGATTGGAAATATTTTACAATTAGAGATAAAGGGATTAGTATTATTTTCATATGAGTCCAGCCGTCAACACCACTTTCGGCTACCACCGCCTTTGGCCCCTCCACCTTCAGTCACCGATGCCTTCGACCACTCCTGCTGCTTGTTGCTTACCGATCCCCCGTATGTGCTAATTCAACACAGCTGGGATTCGAACCCTAGGATAAGGGGACTACACCAAAGCTGGCTTCCAATAAGCCACGATTGAGCATTTATATATATGATACTTCCTACAAAACATTGGGACCGTTATTTTCAAATATTTAATTATCTATACTCTAATTCAAATAAAGTGATTTGGCAAGATGAGCCAGCTGACGTCAAACACAATCTGAGTCCAAGTGACCAAATCTTCCTTTAAAGCATGTAAGAATCTTTGAAATATTTTTTTGGGGATCAAATGATCCCCAAATATGTCAAATTTATAATCAAATTGAGCATGTCAATGAAATAAATCCAATTAGCTCAAAATTCTGACATCTGTAAGACATTCAAATATCTCTAAAACATTGTTCTATCAAAGAAAATATTTTGGTTCGTCTTATAAAGTGGTTCGAATTTTAGCAATATTTATGGAGGGTGTCACTACCAAATTCTATAAATATAATTCACTCTGTTCATGAAGAGTGGGGGAGAAGAAGGTTGAAGAATTTCCAAGCTCTTGAAGGTCCCCGAATGCCAAGAAGACCGTTGATCGGCCACCATCATTGCCACCGCCAAACCATCAGTGTGTCGCCATCACCGAATTATCATTGTTGGCTACCACCATCACCACCACCGGGCCGCTGCATTCGGGTCTCTGCCATTGCCAAACTATTATTGTCTGACCACTTTGTAATCGTTGTTTGACCATTACCACTGCTACCTGGCCGCCATCATCATTGTCATCAAATCACTGATGTCTGGCTGCCCTCATCAACATACTATCGCTACTTGGTCATTAATGTAGTTGATATGTTGCATCACAAAGTCCTTAATGTAGTTGATCATTCTCCTGATTTCTTCCTTGCATTAAAGATTTTTTAATTAGATTTGCATATAAACTCCATAGTCATCTCACAATTCAGGATGTTGAATCATTTTAAGATGTCGGTATCCTATATTGTTCAAGGCTCATACGACCTAGGAAATACATGAAAAAGAAGTAGTAAAAGAGGACAAATGTGATTTTTGAGAGTTCTATCTTTGATCTTAGAACTCGATGAGGGAAGAAGATATGATCCGTCTGATGATGGGAGACAATCTCTATTTATATGTCTCAAGATGATTATCTCCTCCCCCCCCCACCCCACGTCCCCCGCCACACCACGCTTGGTACAATACAAAGTTTGCCCACAAAGTATCAAGGAAAGTTTGCATTGATGTGGGAGTCAGATGTCACATGAACAAACATAGACATACTTCCTCTCCTTGCTGATGATACCTGCCTTACAACAAAATCCAACATATGCTCGAGAAGAGAGCGCGATGGGTTATCTCATTGGATCAACGTAATAATAATTACACTACAATTGATACCTAGTGGATCAACTTGGCAAGTATATTAGAGTAATTAACTTGACAATTATTACATGACAGTTAGCACTTTGGGAGATGAGTGTCATAGGTCAACTTGGTTGGTACTCAACAACTAAGACTTTGGGACATGAGTGTGATAGGAGAACCCAACTAGACCCAACAGTTGGTACTCATAGCTGGCACTTTGGAAGATGAGAGTTGTAGGTCAACCCGACTAGTAAACCCAACAACTGATACTCAACAACTTACACTTTAGGAGATTAGAGTGATATGTCAACCTGACTAGTCAACCCATCGACAGCTGACACTCAACAAATGAGTGTGGTAATTTAACCTAGAAGCTAGTACACGATAGATGTGCTTTAGAAAAAAGAGTTTTCTAGACCCATAGGGCTTATTAAGTTGTTCATTGGTCCATTGAAGCCATTTATTGATGTACAAGTAGATTCGACTAATTTTGGGAATTATTAGGCATATGCAACAAAATTTGTCTTTTTTATTAATAACACTTTATTAAAATTTCAAGGTCAAATTATTGATTATGATCTAATATATGAAATTTAACAGTGGATAAAATTGACATTTTTTAATAAGAATATAATTATTCATTGATCATGACCGAGTGATAATTAAAAGGACCTTTAAACTAAATTACACCTTTATAATTTACAAATCAAAATTATCAAATAAATTAGATATTTTTCAAGGCATGTTTGTTCTTTAGTTTAGTCATATATCAAATATTTCAATATATATATATATATATATATATAGGGAGAGGGGGGACAAGTGATTGTAAGCATTCGCTACTTATATTGCCAGCATTTAACATCGAATCACTCGAATATTTCTACTCTTTCTAAATTGCAATTGATTTCTCACACAGTCGAAGCCACTCATTATAGATTTTTGATATGTTCATAATTTTCCATTAAATTTTGATAAAAAAAAGTGTTTAAAGTTAATTGATTAAATATTTATTATGTAAACATTCATCTCAGCCATAAATTGAATAAAGATTCAACTATTTTTAACCTTTTCTTTAGATTTATCTAACGATGCAGAGGGGCCAATCTTAGTGAGATATATTTTACGGTTTCAATCATAATAATTATCATTGTTGGTCATATTATAACTTGTGTTTCGGATTTATTGGTCCTCCGGTTGAGATATTAATTTCATTTCTAACCAAAATATCATATATTATCTTTTTTATCCATCTTTTTCATCCCTAACACCTGTCTACCCACCTTGTTTGAACAATTCTTTCCCTTCACATGGACGAAACCAGACCACTAATTAAGCCGTTTTTTTTTATGATTTTTCTCAATAATCAACATTCCATTGGATTATTACTTCATATTTGATCAAGGAAAGAGAATTACTTTCTTATGACATAAATATGCTGAGATACTCACAAAATCATTAGCTGTTTAGAAGTCATAATTAGTAATGCCCCATTATCATTAGCTGGTTAAAAAGCTTCTGCATTTATGATAGCATATCTATTATTTATATTAAGCTGCATATTCTGCAAGCACAATATATGATTACATATTTATGCGGGTCATCATTGAAATAATCCGGTACTTCTATTATGTCATCATATGCTTTCATATGGAATGGCATTGCTATAGTGAAATTCATGGCTATCAGAGGAATATTGAAAGGAGTTGATGAGATCAGGGGATATTCCTAACAGTGGATATGTTGCAGTGAGCTTTAATTTCACCCGCACATATGCTGGAATAATAATTTGGATAAGAGCGATGATGAGAAGGATGATCAGCCAGCAAATAAAAAAAGAAAGCAACTTTCAGTGCTGTGGAGTGGAGGGCCTGCGCAGGATCGATACCAATCATCTTTTGTTCTTTCACCATTCTGCCTCCTCCAAAAAAAAGAGAAAAAAGAGGAACTCCAAATATTCTCCACAGTTCATTTTTGATAAAAAGGATCAGTGGGATGGTATCTTATCACTATATATAGTTGTAGTGCTGGTTATTCTCTAATCATTTAGAAAGAAACTTTCCAATCAATATAGCTTCAGCACAATCACTGCATCATACTAAAAATAACTTGTACATAGTATAATTAACAAAGCTACATCACAAACTTGACATTCACCTGCTCATATACAGGTATGAAAATACCAGACTTAGATGACGACCAACCTTCCCTCACAAAGAAAGACAAATAGTAATAATAAAAACCAGAGATAGGAGGGCACTGCATAAAACTAAGTGGCAAAATTATGGAGATCGCCCAAAGTCTCCATAAGACACATGTCCCTATACTTAAAAACAACCCCACCCAAATTTCAAGAAAAGAAGGAAAAAAACTACCATTATCGCCAGATTTGCTTTGGCCTTCAGAACCTTGGTATAACCCTGCACACCAGAGGATTTTTCATCTCAAGTGACATCTTCAGACATTCAGACAAGTCCACAGCACTGTTCTCTAAAGGCACCCATGTGAAATTTTGCAGAAGTTGAGCTAACCAGAGATGCACTGTAGCTAAGGCCATCGCTTTCCCAGGACAAACTCTCCTCCCTGAACCAAAGGGCGCCAGCCGCAGATCAGAACCCATGATGTTGACATCTTCGTCAATGAATCGCTCGGGTTTGAATTCGTCAGGCTCAGCCCAAATGTTTTTGTCATGAGTTATCGCCCACATGTTCACCATGGCAGTCGTTCCTGCTGGGATTAAGTGATCTCCGACCTGAACATCATGGGTTGAGAGGCGAGCCCAGGACAGGAGAGGGCCCGGTGGATGCATTCGAAGAGATTCTTTCACTATGGCCTGGAGATACGGAAGGTTCTTCGTGTCCGAATCACACACTGGTCTTGAGTTGCCAGCCGTAATATCATGGATTTCAGCTTGAGCCTTGCCTTGGATGTGCGGGTGAAGAACCATTCTGGCCATAATCCATTCCAGCAGGATTGCTACAGTATCAGTTCCTCTGAATATCATCTCCTGATCAAGGAACAGAACCATGCAAAGGTGGCCAAATATTACTCGCCAACATCAAAAAATTAGTAACAGCGACAATTTTTTTAACTTGATTGGAAGATGCTCAAATAAGCACGATCCATATGAAATTAACAGGTGGGATGAACACAATTCATTTGTTGATTAATCTAAAACAAAAAAGAAAAAACACAGTAATATAAAATTTCGAAGATTAAAAATTGACATCATCTTACCCAGAGGACAGCTATCATATCAGAATCTGAAAGCTTCTCCTCCTGCTCCAAATCAAGAAGCACGTCGACAAAGTTCCCAGCTTGATCAGCCTCGCCTACTCCACCACCATCAACCGCTCGTGCTCCTCTATGATTTCACTCACAAACACATTCACCCTAGACACCAGCTTCCGGCACCTCCTCCTCACTCCTTGAAGGTCCAACCAACAAAAGAAAGGCAAGTGATCACTCCAGTTAAACATTCCAAGCAATTCATAACCCTCCTTCACCAACCCCTCCAGCTCCGCACCATCTCCCGTTGCAAAATTGTATCTTTTTCCAAAAACGCTCGTCATAACGTTGTTCAGAGACCCAAAATGTAACACCCTCTTGACCTCCACCAACCCATTTCTCCCCATCAAATCTCTCATCTCCCACACCATAGACTCTCCAATATCCATCCTCTGCCTCCCAAAGGAGGATATTCTCTTCGGACTAAAAAGATAAGTTGCTGAAATCCTTCTCAAATTCCTCCAATACTCGCCAAAGGGTGCAAACCCCATAGCGCGATGGAAGAGAAGCTCGTATGCAGATTCTTTGATGGGACGGTCAGCAAAAGCAGAGCTGTTAAGAATCTCCTTTGCAGTGTCAGGATGGCTCGATACGATGAAGCGGGTGATGCCAACAGAGAAGGCCATCAACTGGGTAGCTCTTAAGGACTTTGCCAGGTTCGCCAGAGCTCTGTGAGCAGCCGAGCTGGATAGTGCTGTGACGACGCCCGGAGGAGCAGGTATCGAGTGGCGTCCAGGAGAGAGCAACCAAGCAACGCCCCCGGGAAAGAGGAAAAGTACAGCGAAAGATAACAAGGCAACCAGGAGCACCGGCGAGAGAACCTCCATAGACAGGAAGTACAGGAAGAAGGCAGAGTCCACTTCGGAGGCCGCCATGCTCATTTTCATAAAAGAGATCTTCCACGAAAGAAAATTGATCTGAACAGTGAGAGACGAGGAGGGAAAGTGGAGCAGAGGGCCGTTATATAGGAGTCCAAGCCGAGGTTTGAAATTTAATCTTTTAGTGGCCTGAGCTTCATTTATATTTTTAAAAATTATATTTTTACCTGGAGTAAAAGCGTCTCCTCGTAGTCGTATCTCGTATATATGGCTGGCCCATACGCGCCGAAAAGCCAGCCAGCCAAGCCGTTCGAGAGGATAAGAACGTCAGGAGAACAAATGTAATATCGGGTCACCGGTGGTGAAAGTTTTCGCAAACGGAATGGAAGCTTGAAAGGCTGAAAGTCCAGCTGATGGGTCGGCGCTAATCATCGTCGAGTCATCCGGAGAAAACACGTGGCATTGCGGGAAAGGGCGAGGACGATGTGGCACATGCATGTCAGCTGGAGTAGGCCCGCAGCTGACCGTTGACAGGTGGATCCATGGGTCAGAGCTGCCCACGGGCAGGAGAGCTGGAAGATCAATCTGACGGATGGAGCTCGCCCGACGTCCACTCGTGCTACACGCCGTCCGATCATGGGGCCCACGCAGCCGGCCAAGCCGCCAGAGTACGGTCTCGGCATCCGAGCCCTCCGCCGTTTTGAATCATCGAGAATAGACCAGTGGCGGATGTCATAAACGCTCACAATTAAGATGTTAATTAAGGCATTTAAGTGAAGCACATGAAGGAGAAAGAAGAAGAGATGATGGGAGCCGCAGGATCTGTCGCTGGAATCAAAGAGGCGGAATCTAGACGGTTGATGGGGGAGGTAGGTGGGACCCAAAGCAGAAATTCTATTTCTTCGTGGATCCGCTGAAGGGATTGATGGGCAGCTTCGGAGGAAGCGGCGGTGAGGAGGATTATAATGATGGTCTTAATGAGTAGTTAAAGTGGGCCGTTTACGTTATTTAATGATGCAACGTGGCGCGGGGTACGGCATCGTCAGAATCAATGCCACACTAATAATATCATTTGGCCCATCTTGCTTTGATCGGCCAGCTGAACTCCACTACTGATGACTTCGCTTTTATCATAACGCTTCTCAAGATACGATCAGTCTTAAATTTGTGATGATAATAAGAAAAAAAAAATGGCCGAAACAATCCATATCGGACAACAAAACATGCGCATCCATTTTGATCAAATACGTTACATCTTGAAAGAATCATGAATCTCTCACCTTTCAAAGTGATATTCGAAAATAGATTTAACTGGATCGTTGGGAGCTCGAAAATTCATAAGAATAAAGAAAATTTAACATTAATTTTGTATTATTGTTGTCACCAATCATTATCTCTAATCATTACCATCACTATACCATCACTATTTGACCATTATTGTCGAGCCACCGAACTACCATCGTCCGGTCTTCACCTTCAAACCTCCACTACCCAAAGTAACCAAATAGCCGTCAACAAGCCACTACACCACCGTCATCTGGCGGTCACCACCATTGCCTAGCTATCGTCGCATGACAACCGCCGTGTGGCAGCCACCACTATTAAACTATCATCGTCGCCATCGGACTACCACAGGCTATTCTCCGCAAAACCACCGCTGCCCGAACACTACCATAGAGCAACCTGGTCATCATTGTCTGGTTGTTGCCACCATCGGACCATCACTGCTCGGCCTCCACTAATGTTGTCGTCGGACCACCACGACAATACCTTTACTGCTTGACCATCACAGTCATCGCACTGACCACCGCTAATATCAACGGTGTTGACATCAAACTTTCTGCTTACTCAACATCTACCGTCAATCTTCCTTCATAATAATTGGGTCGTTGTTACTTTCCCAACATATTCCACTAATCCCCTAACTGAAGTCACATTGATATTCCTAAATTCTTGTACCAACATTGACATAGTTCAACTACTTCTATTGTACTATGTCCCGTGATTTTTATCCTTTTAAATTTTTTCATGTAAGAACTCATCGATCTCTCTGTCTGATTTTTTCAGTTTATATGTTTATGTGTCAGATATTTATACAACAACATAATGCTAATTTATCAATCCATTGTTACCATCACACAACAAATCAACATCATAGGTGAGAAATCACTCCCACGCTTGTAGAATTTGTGATGATCACTAAATGACCAACAAACATAATACTCATAATAACAGAGGCTCCCACTCCAATGCTCTCCATTTTAAGAGGTAATCTCAGAGCTTGAGGCATTTGCCATCTTCTTCTCCAATCGACTTTACTTTGCTAGCAAAGCTGCCTCTAGTTTGTCTTTACAGAACTGGGTACATAGGATGGAGGAGTCCTATAATAAGATTTCTCAACTCCTACTTGAGGATCTACAAGTAGTTATATGCCCATATGGGCCTCCTCCTTACAATGATGGAATTTCTCCCTATCAGGACAAGATGTCAATTTCTTTTATATTTTCAATTCACTTCATAAATGTCATATAAGTCGATTTTCCCGCAACACTCTGATGCTCAGAAAGAACTTCGCACACTACGTCTTATTGATGCACCTCAAAACATAAACTATATTGAGCTTCAAAGACTTATCTATGAGGGGCAAGAATTATTTATTGACTTAATGTAATCTTTAAGGGACTTTACCCTTAGCAGATATAGTCCTCCATCACTCCTTCCCAATTGGCTCACAAACATTAACTTTGATAAGGGGAGCAAGCTACACTATAATATTGAAAGGGCGTTCAATTCAACATCCTAGGGCATTTGGTGGTCGAGTAGTCTCTTTTATCTTCCACTTGAAAATGAAGCTCATGAGAAATAATATTAAGATAAGAGGAACTTTAACTACAACCTTGAAAGAACATTCATGTCAATGCCTTGTGGACAATTGTAGTTTGGTAGTCTTCTCACTTTCTATTTATACAACAATTTAATGAGAACCAATTCTAGGTTAGGGGAAGCTTTCATTACAAAGGGTCAGTCATGCCAACTTCTTAGTCATTAAAACATTTGAATAAGTTCTCGACATTCAAGACAATATTATTAGCCTCCTCTCTCAATTCTTCCCATAAATATAAAAAATTCTTCCAATATATTTTTATGTTTTTCATATAGTCCCTAGTTGGTCTTCTTCTTCTTAGATGAGGATGAGGCCATAACGTTAAAAGAGAAACAACAATCAAAATACATATCAATTTTACATTTGATTTTGAATCATTGTGTTAATCATTTTTTCCCAAGATATAATCAATTTCAAGGGGATTTAATATGACATCTTCCATATAAGTTAACATTGTCGAATAGCACTTTGATAAATAACGTTGGATAGGTAATATTTTTTTGATAAATTTCATCCGACATTTTTCACGAAATCTAATGTTTTAACAGAAAGTCACACACAGGTCAAATATCCATGATGAATTTCTTAGATCTCTTTCACACAGGTTAATATCGTCGAGTAATAATCAGAAAAATTATCTCGGATAGACCAAACAACCTTGATGGGTTTTCTTATGTCTCTTCCATATAGCTTAACATCATCATTAAATATTTCAACGAACAATTTTTCATGTAGGCTAACGTTATTGATTAACACTCTGACAAACAATCTCGATTTGATCAAACATCTACAATAGATTTCATTTGACATCTTCCACATAAGCTAATGCTATCGAGTAAGAATCCAACAAACAACCTCATATTGGTCAAACGTCCATAGTAGATTTCCTTGAATATCATTATTGCATGACAACCATAATGTTTTTTTATTTATCACTAATCAATGGTAGGGTCTCTTACCTATCACTCTTATGTGGTCACCTAAATTCAGTCAGCATAAGCTAAACCACTTGGTTATAATCATTTGACAATAATAATCATTCTTCAAGACATATAGTGATTTAATTTAACTTGTGGGGTATAGTTGTCACTCACACCAGTATCGGGCAATCGTCACTACTACCCTCACCATTGTTGGGCTACTATCTCTTAGAGCACACCTCTGTTATCGCTAAACTATTGTCACTCGATCATTGTAATCATCATCGGATCACAATCACCTGATGACACCTCTACACCCCACTATAATTGATTGACCAATAATGTTTCTACATTATTATTAGATTAGTCTCTCTACCTATTATTTTCAGAACACCATCGCCCGACCAAAATTGTTAGACAATAACCATATTGTTAGACTATCATTGACATATCGATGAGATGTTGATACTGTTGCCAACAGATCATCGACACCTGGTTGAAGTCGAGCAATTGCTTCCATCATCAATGGGTTACTTTCGTCGCAATCAGGCCATCATCACTTGACCATAGCCTCCACGTAGAATCATCATTACTAGATTGTCATTGCTTTAAGACCACCATTCTCCTACCCGACATCAAGCCACCGTCACTTTGCTAGACCCATGATGTTGAACCACCACCTCCATGTCATACCACCATCGTTCGGCCGCCGCTACCTTAGGAATACCATCTCCCAGCCGACATTGGGCCACTTTCACTATGCAGACCCATGATGTCGAGCCACCACCACAATGCTAGAACACTGTCCTCTAATTGCCCCATGAAGCACAACCATCATTGGGTCACCTTCGTGCTTGTCGTCACCATGTCAACTGTCACCATGTCGGACCGCTATCGTCTGAAGGCCACCACTATTCTGGCACACTATCACAATCATTCAATCATCATTGGTATATTAAAATATCCTTGTCATGCTATTGTCATCGCTCAACCAACACCACTGCTATCAGTGGATCATTGCTACTTGAGCACCTCCACCATCACAGTACACCGTCATTTTCAAAGCGCCATCATTCATCCAATGGTGTTGTTCCCATCACCATCACCTATCCTCGACCTCTATCAAATCACTATCACCAAATTGACATTTTTGGATCCCACCACAGCCATCATATTGTTGTTGCCTAACAAAAGGCATTGACGCTACCAATGAATTTATTACGAGATTACCATTTCCTAACCACTACTACTACTTGACCACCATCACTGAAGCTTCTAGAAAATAAACATTGGGTCAATACCGTCGCTAGAACACAATCGCCGACCACCACAATCGCAATCACTAGCGGCGACAGACTATTCAACGCATTTTGACACCTTTTGGTCTATGGGGCTATTTTTTGACGTCCTTGACTCAAATTTGATACTTTTAAATGAA